ACCTTTCAGAAGGCATTTGTGGTGGCTAGAACTGAGCGGGGAAGCTCTAGGTCAGCCAGCTGGGACAATTTGGAGCCTAAGGACCAAGATTAAGTGTCTCACAGAGGTCATCACTGGGAAGGGGTGAAAGAGCAAAGAAGACGTCAAGGTAGAAACTGAGTGAGGGAGAGAGGAAGAATAAAGAATGTCCCCTAAAGGCATGGGCATAAGGCAGAGAAGGTAGAAAAAATAAAAATCAACACAGAAGTTGCAGCCTGACATAGTAAGGTGTTCAGAAGCCAAGTTGGGAAGACGAAAAGAATCATAGCATTTAAATTGTGAACCATCTAAATTTTACATAACTTTGCCATCTCTTCAAAGAGAAAAGGGGGGGGGGGGGGCTTCCCCTACTTGAGAAGTTGTAAAGATCTGCTGTTGGGCTTGGCAAGCTGTTAAGAGGCTTTATCCCTATTTCTCTAAAAAAACCCTGCAGAAGCCAGTCATGCTGGCTGGGATCAGAGTTTGGCTCTTAAGGACAGTGACCATGCATATCATCTGTGCAAAAGTCGTGGGCAGGCATGCACCTCTGGAGTTAGAAACCAACTGATTTTGGAGGAAAATTCTTTAGTAAATTTTCCAGTGATGCAAGCCAAAGGATCCTCATCATGGTCTTATGTGTCTATAAGAGGTAATTATTTAATATGCCACTGTCTCTTAGGATAAATGTCCCAGGCTACCATGAAGGTTTTGAGTCTCTAGTAATGACTGTTCTTTTAAGTAGAAGTATTAATTTACTGAAGATCAAATTCCAGCTTACCCTAAGATAATTTAAATAACGGTGACCAAAAAAAGCAGTAAAAAAAAAAAAAAAAAGAAGACTTGAGTCAACTGAAGCATTTTTAACATGATTTTGCCAGATTGTTTTGGTTGGTAAGACATTCCACACAATCAAGAAAAAACCCAAACCTACATGTTTCATCTTGCCATTTTAAAAAGGTTGTTTCTATTAAACTGTAAGAACACTGTTTCAGGACCACAAAATCAAAATTATTCTTGTCCTCCCTTAGACCAAGTGAAACATTTTGTTCAATACAATACTCTTCGTGCTGACAATCAGTTTGAAAACCAGTATTTTTAAATTCATCAGGAGTTTATCATTTGTACATTTCTGAAACTTCAAGCAAACTGTCACATTAGTTACTTGCACTTGTATATTTAAGAAGACAATGCAAATCAGTCACTAGAAGGTCAAAATGAGAAGCAACAGAAATAGCTTTACATTTTATTACTTTTGAGTCACCGAATGCAAAAAACTAAGGCACTTCATTCTCGTAGTTGAAAGAAATGGCAAATGAGGTCTTTGACTGACATTGTTAAGGGCTTAGCACAAACTTTAGAAAATGTTTGCCATATATTAATATTAAATTATTTTGAAAGTTCCTCCCTCGGTTTTGCAGAATATTGCTCTTTTCTGCCACAGTACTGCACTTTTCAACTCCACCTTTCTAGAACTGTTGTGCGTTTTAACCTTTCTCCTAATCCCATAAAAACTTTGCTTTTAATAATTCATCAGAAGTGCTCCTTGGAAGTCACCCCTTCAATATGCAACTCCTTGTGTTTATTAAAGGAAGGGTGTTGACAGGCTTGAGGTGGGAACCACTTTTTTTCTTAATAACTTTGATGTCAAAAGACAGTTGTGTAACAGCAGATGGCCTTCTGGTGATAATTTCCTGCATGGCTCCTTTGGAAACATCAATCTGATTTAATTTATTTTTTATAGGAAATACCAATGAATTTTGTGGATCCCAAAGAAATTGACATCCCGAGTCATGGAACTAAAAACCGCTATAAAACAATTTTGCCAAGTAAGTGAGCTAGCCCATGGTTTCCTACTATGACATTTAGTCCTGCTTTGAGAACATATTGCTGTGAAAATCTCTCTTTATATTTGATTGTTGTGTACCCATTCATACTTGTATTTATAGTGTATGTAGACAGATAACAGAAGCCCAGTGCTGTAGGCTGTAGGACTGGCAAATACAGAACTCTCACTGGATGCCTTATTACGTACACAGGTTGGCAGCAACCCAGCCACGTACTGAAGTACAGCCTGGGTGAGTGCTGAATTTCTCTGAAAGAGAGCTCAGGCAGATGGGTGGAGAGAGGTCTGCCATGCCTCACAGTAGCTCCTCCATCATGGCCCAAACCAGCTTGCAGGCACTCAATTCCCTCTGGTTGGGTCAAGCTACTTGGGACTAAAAATTCTCAGACTACAAAAAGCAAGTGCAATTTATCCTTTCTTGTAGTGGGCTTCCATCTTTATAACTCCTCTGGTGGTTGGTTTTTCTTCTCCATGCACTAATTGGCTTTGTGAAAATCTATTTACATTAGCAAGAAAACCACCTTCTCACAGTGCTGCCTCTTCGTTGCTGTAAACTTGATACTGCCTTGCTATACTGCTTCTGTATTTTCATTGGCCCAAATTACTATAACAATTGCTTTGTTATAATTAGAGGTGATTGAAAACTTTTCAGTGGAATAGTTTTCCTTCAAAATATATTTTTCTCTGAAACGCAGCTATTTTCATAACATTTGTTGGCACATAATGAGATATTCAATTTCTTTTTTATTATACATTTGGGTTTGTATTGTTTCAAAATAGGTTGCAGAAATTTTAACATTACACTAAATATAGACATGAAAAGTTGAGATTTTATAAATTTCAGCATCACCAAAGCAAAAAAGTTCAGTGATTCAAAATACTGCAGAACACTCCTACGGAAAAATGTAAACATATCCCTTTGTTTAGGTTTTTAATGAAGAATACTTTTACATTGACAGCATATCCTATCAACTAGAAATTTGTTTCCTAATCATCTCTATAATGTCCTCATGGGCCTACGTTATATGATAGTTGTGCAAATTCATACACCTTAAATTATAAGGTTTCTCTCAGCAAGCCTGAATGGATTGTTATTTATTTACATCATAAAAAACCCTTGCAGTCAAATTAATGAAAACTGATGGCTTTCAGCTTCTTGATTAGTCTCAGAAATGCGATATGTAGCTGGGAAGGAAACTTGTGTGGAGTCCTTGCTTCTCTTCAGCACCAGTAAAATTTTCATTGTGTTCAAAGTTAGTTCATCTGTTGCAACCAATAACTGTGTACATCTGATTGCAGTTGAGAAATATGGAAGGGAATTAAAGAAATAAAGTAACTGAATGCAGGTTATATACCAAACAGTGAGCATCCCTTAGAGTCTGGCCCAGTATCAACAGGAAGTACACAGAGGGTGAAATCCTGACCTCTTTGACGACAGCAGGACTTTTGCCAGCAGCTGCAGTGGAGCCAAGATATCTCCAGGCCTCCCTCCGCCAGACCGGTGGATTTTTGGAAGGTCTTCTCCCTTCCCATAGCATCTCATGTGCAAGCTGCCCTAGCCACCATCAGGTTTGCCATTAGCAGTGCCTTGCAAACTCAATGAGTCCTATTTCACTGCAGCATGTGTTTTCAATTGTGACATAGCAGCTGGGCTGTGGTTGATGCTGATGAGCTTTGAGAACCAGCTTGCCTGTGTGTCTTCACCTCCAGTTGGCTGGGATGTGCCACTTGCTCCACAGCACCTTTTAGTCCAAGCACTATGCTGGTGTGCACTGCAGCTACTCACTGACAGGCACTTTGTAACCATCCTTGACAGAAATCAAAAGGTCTGTTGTGTGTTAGCACCAGGCCTTTTCAAAGAAGATATTTTAAGGATTGAGGCACATGCTCGTAAGAAAGACTCATACACCCCACACCCAGTCCAACAGGGTTTGGAAATTGTTTGAGTGGTTAAATAGAACAGCCTTCCTGGTTTCCTGCTCAGATGATATCAACCCACTGCTCCGCACACCCGCATCAGCTTTTCCATTCCCAACACTGGGTGTGTCTCCTGAATCAGGGCACCTGTGATGACAAGTGACGTTTGAGCTGATGGGTTTTCTCCTAAAAATGCCCCGTCCTGGCAGCTCCACCCTCTATGCTGCTGAGGATGTTCTCATTTTCTAAGAGATAATTCTGTGACAGGGTGCATGAGGGTAGGTTCATGTTAGCAGATACTACCCAGCCAGACACACTAATGTGAAATAAAACTAAAGCCTGTTGAAAATTTTTCTATATGGAAAACTATAAAGTGCAGGATCTAACATTTCTATGAAAGATGTTTCAGTTGCAGTGTAACATAGCCAACACTCTTAGGCAAACAGTAGGTTGCCGCTTTAATTTTTCTAAGTGTTATTTGCATTATAATAATATTCTAATTCAACTAATGAGGGGCCGGTGTGGAATCAGAGGCAAGTGGCTAAGCAGTTTCTTGAAATCACTGTTTCTCCATACTTCCTCTTGATTGTGACCCCACCCACTGCTCCTGTTAAACTCTGATCTGCATCTTCAGCTGCATTCCCACTGCCACTAGTCTACAGTATTTCGCAGTCCCTCCCAATTCTGCACACAGATCTTCCAGTCTCTCACCACAGACACATCCTTGTGGCAGAACACCAGCCCTGCTGCTCCCTCCTCATCCTCTTACTCTACATCTTCACCTTTGCCTGCTTTCTCCTGCAGTCCCTGCTACATGTCCCTGCAGCAGGACCTCAGCTTCAAAGCCCTCTATCTTTTCTACTTCCTCTCTCACTTTTCCACCTCAAACCAGACCCAGAATTCCCATGGTACTTCAGAGTAAGCATGAACTCTTACAAAGGAGCAAGTGGCTTAAAACTATTCTGTGGGTATCTTTTGTGTGTGCAACACATCCAAGGTACCTGGATACCATTCCCTATCCCCTTCTGAAGAGTAACCTCCAGACAAAAGTCTGCATGAAAACATTCTGGGCAGAATAGCAGATTCACAGTAACATGAAAGCACTTGGGGGTCAGATCCAGAAGTCCACAGCTGTTTCTTGAAATGCTTGTGCTAAAACTGGCTTTGACACTCCAGCTAAAGGCAAGGGAAAGTTAAATTTAAATCATATGAACAAAGCACTTTATTACAAAAGCTTATAGACAAATGCTGGAAAACTGTTCTCTTGATGTCGAGAATTTCCAAGCTCCCTTGCACTCCCCAGTCCTGACTACCAACAGTCGTATTTGCTCCAATTCTGCTCCATAGTGAAGGCAATAGGATCACCAGCAGACTTTCAGAGACTAAAGAAAAATCATATTTACAAATTAGAAGGAGAAAAATACTTTAATCTTAGTGGAATTCAGCATGGGTTCATCAAAGCATTTTTATATATCCATGTGAGTCAACAAAATGTGTCCTAGTTGGGGTCACCGGTATCATAACATTTATAATATTTGTAACTAGCTAGTATTACAGTAATTGATCTATATTAGATTGCATATTTGAAAATGTAAATAGATACTAGGCAGGCCATATTTTTAGCAGATAAGAAATATTCCCTTTGCATGAGTGAAACTTTATTTTGTAATGCTGAAGCATGTTTTAAATGCAGAAGCACTCACCATGATAAATCTGTTAAGTTTTCCATTGAGAAATCCTGGATTATATTGGAAGCACCAGGAATGGCACAGATGAGATTTTAAAAAATGATGCATAGTTTACGGTGTTTTATACATAAAGTGTTTTGAAGCAGTCGCATGATTTGCAAGTCTAATAGCCTATTCCCTACCTGGCAGAGACTGGGAATGCAGTTTAGTATGATTCTTCAATGTTCTGTGTTACGATGTTTGCCAAGTAATACTGGTATCCATAATTCATTTGTAGACTGCAAGCAAAATTAGGCAAAATAGAGGTGAATTAATTTCAAAATGTTTCAATATCTGAAAAATTCATGACCTTTTGGGCTGTCAGTGTGAGAGCAGTCTGCCTCACAAAAATGTCATCTTCCTTTCCTTCTCACTAGAGAGAAATACCCTAAGGACAGACTTTCACACAGTATTTCAGTCCTGCTGTTTGTTAGTAAACTAGGAAAGAACTAGGAGTAACAAATGATTTATCCTGGAAATGCTACAAATACAAACATACCCATGCCCTAAAGAATTCAGGACCCAGTAGTAGTCAAAACGGAAGAAGGAAAAATACCCACAGCACATCATACCCACTGTACAATGAACATAGCCCTTGTGATGGGACAAAACCCCGTGACATCGTGGCAAAGTGGTGTTCTTGGAGTGGATCTTCCCCTATCTATGGCACTGGGAGAAGTTGTCCAGCAGTGCTATCATATAGCCCTGCTTGTTCCCTGTAACAGGCAGTCTCATGGGAGCAAGCTACAGCCCCTTTAACAGTGTCCTATTCCTCCAACATGGTACATTCAGGTCAATATTAATTTCTTAAAATGGAGTTAAAAGAAGCTTCTTCTACTCTAATGGGAGAACTATTCCAGACTTCCTAGATACATGGAAGAAAAGAGCAGTAATTTTGCCTCAGTCAAAATTGTAGAAGACATATTTTATTAGTAATTATAAGTGCTTAACAGCTCTGCTGCATTTCAAGATGCTTTACAAATATTGATGAATTCAGCCTTGCAGCCACCATCTGTCTCTCTGCTGTAGCTTCAGAGACTTTGCCATCCTTGAGGAAAAGATTATTACCTCCAAAGTATGTCATTCAGGAGGAACCTAATGACTTACTATTTGTGTCTGATGATTGCTTAGTGGCTCTGGATCTTTAGCGTTGCTCAGGTTTTCCTCATCTCAGAGCTCAGTTTACAGTACTTTCCCATTTCCAAACTGATTCTGACTGATAATTTATAAAAGATTCCTGTTTGGAAGCAGTGTTTGTTTCACTGATTGGAGTTGGAAGGAGGTCTCAGAAACTGTGAAACTGATTTAGCTGCTCCCTAGTAACAGGGATTTATCTCAAGACATGGTAATTAAACTGGATGTTGAGTCTGCTTGGACGAGGTTTTCTAAGGTAGGGGTCAAACGACATCAGAATCAGAGGCATTGTGTGAGCTAGAGGAAGTGGCTGTTTTCTCAAGGCCACGTAGCCTGAGGCATTTGTGGAAATGGCTAATAACTACTCTGTGCTGAAAAGGAATGAGAGGTTTCCTGTCCTCATATTGTTAAGGGGGGAAAAAAAGCTCTAACTGAAAAAGTTGGGAAAGCTAGTACAAAGAGATTTTAACACAAGCTAATTAGAGTTCATGTAGTGCTATTAACCGCGGATGAAAAGACTTCTATGCACAGATATTAAATTAAAAGTCATGCAGTCATTTTCATATTTTAAGAAATATACTTCCAAAACATCAGCCTGGGTTCTACAAAGGCTCCACTCTTGTCCAAGATGCTCTTGTGATCTCCACTGGGAAAATGACATAAAGTATGTTTGGGATCATGCCTCGTCTTTCTTTGATTTGTAAAGGTTTTATCTTGTTCTTAGGAACAGGATGAAAAGTCACAAAAGAAATCCAAAAGCAATTCTGAAAGTACCAGGCTTTGCTACAACATAGGTACATCAATTATATCTTTCTTGTGTAAACAGCAGGACCACACAAGAAACAGTGTTTTCTTACCACTTTCCAGTTCAGCATCCACATATGTATCTTTAAACACATTGCCTAGATTGCACTCAGCAAAGCAGCTATCCTATTTCCAAACCAATAGGTGTCTGTATACTGTCAAAAAAATGCTGGTTCTAATTAAATATTTAAGCAAATTGCCAGATGAAAAGACTATTTTTCAGGACAGAAATATTTCCATGTAATTTTGTTAGTAGTAGAACATGCGAAGAAAGTTGAAGTGTGTCCCTAGACAGCCACAACATAGGCATCTCACTTTCCTTCTCCTTACCCCTTCTGTTATGTTGTGTAATTGAGAATTTACTGTCTTTAATTCCAAAATGGTATTACATGAGGGATCACATCACCACAAGTAAGCAAGCAGAACCTTCCTTTGCAGGAGGGATTTAGTAACCCTCAGCTCTCTACTCAACAGAACTGGTCCCTACTCCTTTCTAGATCACCCAAGACTGAAGCAAAGAACTGTGTGAAAGAAAACTTTCCTGTATTTTGGCATTGTGTCTCCATGCCAGTACACACAAATGGTCACAAATTGTCTAGCCCCTTAGAGTCAACTTAAAGTGATATAAAGACACATAGCTGATTTCATCCTAGGCAGAGGGAGCTCTTCATAATTTAAATCCAGCTGTAGTCAGTGAACAGGGCAGCTTCAGGCAAAGATACCAAAGTCAAATCTAAAGGACTTGGTGTAATTATGTACCATTGTAAAATTATATGACATGAGTTTCAGAGAGAGTGTAGGCAGGTCAGCTTGATACACAGCTCAGGCAGACTAGATCTTGCTGAGCATTGCCTGAACCTGATAGTGTTGCTTCGATGCCCACAGCTTGCTGAGATGGTTCTACATAGCTCAGCATTGTGCAGGATAGGGGTACCTTAGTTACATGTGATAATGCTTTGCAGAGGGAAGAATTTGTTGCCTAATGCTTTACTGCTTGACAACCCCAAATAACAGATTAATTTCTTCATCAAGTCTTTGATTCTCTATAGAAATCTTCTAATTACAGGTTTTCTTTTCAATTTCCATCTTCCTTGTGCTCTTAGATCCTCTAAGCAGAGTGTATTTGAAATCAAAAAATCCATCTGACTCCTTGAGTACCTACATAAATGCTAACTACATTAGGGTAAGTAAATGTATAGTCTTCATGTGCTTTTGAGACAATATTTTATTTACCATGTGAATAGCTGATTTTGTCAAAGTGCCACTCATTTACTCCTACCCATCTTCGTTGATAATTCCAAATCTTTTTGTCTACACTGGTGTGATAGAAATATTTTCATGAGCCATTTGTAACAATGACCATGTAGCCATGAATGTACTAAAATGGTTGCAATAAAAAAATTATCAAATAGTTGATTAAAAACATTGAGAAACACATGATTACTATTTGTTTATTTTGGTGTTTACTGTTTAATATTGTCCTACTGCCTTATAGTGAAGAAAAGAGAGATACCTTTTTACAGTGACAGAGATACCAGTATATTCAATATATCAATTGATAGTCCTGAAATCAACAGTTAAGTAATTAAATAAATGCTGTAGCAAATTTGTGAAAAGAAGCATAAACAGATGGGTTAAATACACACACGTGCCCACAACACACACAGTCATTCATATTTTATTCCCTTTATTAAATGGTCACATGACATAAAGACTTTACCAGGATGAACCCTGTTGGAAACTATTTCTAACTGTCAGCTATGTTATAGTCCTCGATCACACAGAGCTTTCTTGAACTCATGACACAGTGTATGCTAAATAGACTGCTAAGAAACTGCTTCAGTGACGTTTTGGGAGTGTAGTGCTCTACCTGCAAAATTAAATGTTTTGATTAGAGCTATTGTCCAGACCCTCAGCTGGAATAAGTGTAAAAATGCAATGGAAATTTGGCCCCAGAGCTCTACAGTGATGTTGCTTATTTAAATAACAGTACATTAAGATATACATACACATCCCCCATGCCCCAACCCTACCTCACTTTGAAACCTGTACTTTCAGCGTTTCGTATGAAAGATATCATCATGTAACTAAGCAGAATGGTTCCCTTTGGAGAGCAACTCTTCCCTCAGCCAGGCCATGTTTTGAGTCCTCTGAGGTCTCCCTTTTCCCCATGCCACCACCCTTCAGGCCCATGTGTGGTGATTTCTCCTGCTGCTAACACCAGCTGAACTGTCAGCAACTATGGAAAGAATACAACCCAGCAATGAAATGAGATTTCTCATCCATATATGCAAAATCGTTAGGCTTGCTGGGATCCTGACAGACCTGTCTTGGTAAAAGTATGTTCAGGCAGACTAGTGAGTAGAAGGACAGTTTGTGCCAGCTCAGGATCTATCCTATTAGTTCATGCAATGAGTAAGAGCTGTCAGTGAGAAAGGCATCTAAAAGGAAGACCCAAAGCTCAGAGGCTCCCACACCACCTCCAAATGTTCTACATTCACTCATTCCATTCAGACATTGCCAGGCTCTCCTGCATTACTTTTGGACACCCTGTCACTGCACGAACTCATAGCTTCTCCTTTTCACCTAAAAAATAAGACTGCAATGTCTTGTATTTCCAATTTCTTCTTGCCTTTCCCTCTCCTCTGCTTCCCCACCATTTGCCTGACCTTTCTTTGACCTCCACACTCATGTTTCTCAGGACTCCGTATACTGATATGTTGTCCCTCTAAAGTCTCATAAAGGAGCTTCTCCCTTAGCAAAGATACATAGCAGAGTCTTTGACTCCACAGTATTCATGTATTTTTAATATTTTTCCTGTCATGAATCTTTGTAGAAAACAGTTTCTTTCCTGTGGCTTGTTGACTATAAACTATCTTGTAAACACTGCCGCAATATAAAGCATAGATTAAAGTACCACTGGATGATGGAAAGCCCCAACAATTTTGAGAATGGAGTAAACTAAAAGACGCCAAGTAAGCAGGGAAATTTGAAAGGGATCGATGTATTCTCAGTACCATTTAAGTTCATCAAATCAGTAGTTTCCAGAAGAAAAACTCTTCTACTGAAAAATTTCTGATCTGCTCTACTGTTAGCCATAACTGCTTTCAGTTCAAATAACTCTTGTTATTTTTTTATTTCAGATTAATTTTTCTGCTCTTTTAGAACATTCACCTTCAATATTTGTTGACCATATGAATTTATAGTAAATGCTTTTGTGTCTGTTTCTAAAACAGGGATATGGAGGTAAAGAGAAGGCTTTCATTGCAACTCAGGGACCCATGATTAATACCGTGAATGATTTCTGGCAGATGGTTTGGCAAGAAGACAGCCCTGTCATTGTTATGATCACAAAGCTGAAAGAAAAAAATGAGGTATGACAACTAGCCAAACTGAGAAATTATTCCTATGGCTGCATACTGTAGAGAGGACCTTAGCAGATATGGAAGGATGCTAGCAGATAACCAGCTCTTAAATAATCTGGTAATGGACTATGTGAAAAGTAATGTTGGGATAGCCAAATACACCAAGGGCAATTGTATAGCCATCATAAGAGATCTATTAGAAAAAGACAGAAAATAATTCCATTCTCTAGATCGGTGCTGTTGGGTTCATAATTTTTTAAGAAACACCACACTTACCTGTTGGTCACCTCTGTACTTCCTTTTACTTTCTGGTATATACGGACTAGATGGTTAATGGCAGGTTTTTAATTCATTCCCAATGTTACAAATCTTCAGGACCATCCCAGAAACACAGTTGGGGTTCCCAAATGTTAATACCATGGAGGGACTTATCCAGAAAGGAAATACATGACTCTTTACCTTAGTACCAAGTAGAGCTGACAATTGCATTGTAATTGTTAATGGCCATCTAACTGCCTGTTTAACATTCTGTGACTTTTTGGGTCAATTCTGAACTACATCTTTAACAGCTTTATTTAGTATTCATGTAATTTTTTGTCAGGCTTTCCTTGATCATGTCAGAGTCCGTATTTCTTACTACCAAACATTTAGGAATGAAAATCATTCTCCAACGTAGAGGGCTGACATGAAACTCTGTTCTGGAAGACTGAATATTAAAGAAGTGGTTTACAGGGCTTGTGGACAAGAGAGAGGCAGAAATAAAGGAGTTAGACTTTTTTCTTGAGAAAAAACTGCTAGACTTGGTAACAATTCCCAACTCCAGGTAGGTGCCTTAATCAAGTCTCTGCACCTTGCCAGGCAAGCACCAGGGCTGTGTTACTTCTGCTGCACTCACCCCCCTGCTCTTCAAACTCAGATGCATGTGATGATAGAGCAACAGAGTTTATTCAGGCAAAGTTTCCAGTCTGAGTGATCAAGGGATCAAGAGCCTGAGTGCATTCATAGAGCTCAAACTCACCACTCCATTTAAATGTGGACTCTTCTGTCTTCCGCCCTTGACTGCTGCTTGGCTCTTTGTTACTGTGAGTTTGGACTAATAACATGAACTTAAAATCCAGTGGATTTTAAGAATCTGTATGTAAAATTTGGTTTACCTGGTAAAATGTCCACAACATTTCCAAACCAGATGCCATTTTGCACTAGACTGTTGAAATGAGAGTCCAGAAGCCCACATTTAAGATTAATCCTGAAAGTATAGCAAATTTACCCCAGCCTAATCGCCAAAAGAGTACGTATTTCACTGAGGAAATGCTGACTGTTTAAACACTCACATCTGACACTATGTAAGAAGAATGACTTGAAAGAAGTGCCCAGTGTTTTTCATGGTGTCAGGAAGCCCTGTGTTTACCTGAGTTATGCAGGCTCTAGGCACTGGTATTTATCGGCATTGTTGTGCCTGGCAATGGTAATTTCCTCCTAATAGGAAGGGTGAGGAATCTCAAGTTGTTCCCAGGCTATATAGAGAGGCTGTGTTTGTGCAAGCTGTCCTGCCCTGTCTAGAAACCTTAGGAACTCTCCCACTGTTAGCAGGTTCCTCCTGAAACCTTGCCTGCTATTGAAAAGAAAACAGCTTAGCTATTGGCTGTGCTCAGCATTTTATCTTCACTGTTAAAGTATTTGCTCTCTATTGAGAAGTCAAGAACAGATGTTATTTAGCATAATAGCACTTGATATATTTTCTTCTCTGTGGTCTGCTTTATTTCTAGCATTTTCAGGGAGGTACATCAGCAATATACACATATACAAATACCTTCATATCTGAAAGTGTATTTGTCCACTCATCCACGTCCACCCCTGCACATATAAACCTCCACACCTGATTCTTATGTGTAGGTCATATTCCTCAGTTGGTATAACATCAGTCAGCCTTCACTTGAGCTATAATTCTCCATTTGAGCTATAATGTACTGTAATGTATGAAGTAATGTATAATGAAGGAGCTCTCAAATGACACAGATGAAAAACCTTAATCTCCACAATAATTCATTTATTTTGCATAAGGAAAAGTATTTGGGACATTAGTTCAATATATTGATGCAATGAATTTGCATTAGCAATGGGAATTGTGTAAAATGATGATGAATAAAGGTTTTTGTAGAGTTACTTCCATATATCAGGTGAAAAGATGGTTAAGACTTGCTGGGGTAACAGTTTTTGCAAGATGGGTGAAGATATGATTGTAGAGTGCTGAGCAAAATATTCATTTCAGCTGTACAAAGAAAATGCGCAGTATGAAATTACTGGATTTTTTTCTCTTCTGTTTTGAAGTCTGATTTAAAAAAAAAAGAGAATTGATTTGTAAGGAAGACTAATGCTGAAGGAACTATGGGTACTCTGAGTATTTTAAGCAGAATCTGTAAAACTTGTTCTCAAAACTACACAATGTCTGAACAAATTGGAAATCTACTTGTGAGAGTCCGCAGCAAAGGAGCTGACTAATACTGACAGATGTGTGTTTATTCAGCTCAGATAATGTAAATCTTGTTGACAGCAATTATCTAGGATGATCTTGTTAACTCACTGTTTAAAGCTCATATTATACTTCATGTAACATTTTTTCCCTCAGTTGTTGTACACACATACTTACCTATGATAGCCAAGTAGATTTTGGAATTTGGAAATCCTACCTTTAACAGACTTCACATAAGCCTCTTTGAAGATTTCTTATTAGTTGAGTATTGGAACCATAGATAGGTCTTAGGTTTTGGAAGAACTTAAGCAGATTTGGTCCTAACTTTGAGGATTTTAGTATATGAAAGCAAATCCTGCAAGTCCTCTTAAAACATACCTCTCATGCTTGAGTTAGCAGTGACAGTAAACAGAGGGCAGGAGTAAAAGGGATTCTGGAATTGAAGTTTTGTTGTAATTATTCATTACTGTTGTGTGTTGGCTTGGTTATTGGGACATTTCATGTGTAAATTTGTAGGCATAGCTATATGACAAAATGCACAAGAAGCGAAGCTGAAGTAAAGCAACTGTACAAATATTTGAGAACTGTAAACCCAATTTTGTTCAGTGTCCAAATCCAGGGAATATAAAAAAGGTAAATACCATGTCAGCTGAGAGAGCCTTCCTCCATTCAGCAGAACTGGGGGACCAGACTGCACCAGGAGCACTTGTGGCAAGTTAAAAACAGCCTGACTTTGAAAGATTGCAAGTGCCAGACTCAGTCTGAGGCAGAACCAGATCCCACTCAGTTATGGAGATCCACCTCAAGAGCAGTGCCATGAAGGCTGGCACCTGGTGGGCATGGGATAGGGCAGGGGACATAGGAAGCTTAAGCCTGCAGCCCTGTCACAGGGGGAAGAATGAAGGCTGAAATCAATTAAAAGTCATGTGAGATACTGTTTCTTGTATAAACTTCCTGTTCTGTCAGGGAATGGTGGTTTTTTTTAAAAAAAAGTCAAGCACCAGATCAGAAATAAGTAATCATATATTAGCAGAAGAAAACTAACCAATTTGAAAGAAGGCAGGAAGATGAGAATTTCCGCATGAAAGTAAGGAGATTCCCAGGCTTTTGTCTGCCTTTCTAGTTGGTTAGGATTGAGGTTTTTTTAGCTTAAGCATCTTTTAAAAAAATCCTGTCATAGCTCTTACATGTTTTCTGACTACACAGAGGATGTATGTTCAACCCCAAGCTCGCAAAATGTGTGACCTTTTAGCTATTTAGAAAGTGCTGTAATAGATGAATATGCTGAAAGGGAATCTGCAGTCTGAAAGAAGAGCAAGGAACAGAATCAGGACCAGCACGAAGAGTAGAGGTGGAGGACTATATGATGATAAGAATAAGTGAATTCTTCTTTTTTTCTGATATGTACCATATGCAATGAGGTTTTACTGATTGCAGACATGAGGCTAGACATCAGGTTTAAAATATACCTACTGGAGACCAATAGAATTTTCTTTTGGGTTCAGTTTACTTTTTTGATAATGGTCCTGAAATTTTGGGTTATTTTCTGTATGTCTGATAACTTTATCCCTCCTAGCTTCATCTTTATCCCTTTTTTACTATTAACTTTCAAAAACATATTAATTCCTCCAAATACCTTAGAATTGCCTAAAGCAGCTTATCCTAACTGTATTTTCAAGGCTATTTTTTAAAGCAGTAGCAAACAGTATTCTTAAGAGATGCACAGTGACAGTGTTAAAAATAATCCATTGTATCTCACTAAGTGTAGACAGACTGTTAATGAAAGTTATTTTAACGAACAGCCACATTTCATTGTCCACCCAGCACAAGTTGCCAATTCCAGTTCTGGGAATGAGTCAAGAAAAACACTCTTCTGGAGTGCCTGAAGGTTTTGTAGTGAGTGTCACATGCTCACATTTATCAAGAAGTCTCAGGAGTTTACTCAACTATTGTTGATTGTCAGGGTACAATTGTGTATTTAGACTTTTCTTTTTCCTATATTAGCACTAAAAACTACACTCCCAGGGAGGGGCATGAACTGCAGATCTGGCAGATGATAGTAGCTATACATGTCACATGGGTAGACTGTGGTACTTGTGAACACTCTTTTTCGTACAAATTTCTGAGTATTTTATTGCCATTCTCGATCTCTTCGGGGAGACCGCAAATTTAGGATGTTCGAGTAGTTCTGCAAAAGACAGGATTTGAACGAAACCAGTCAGAGTGGCCAGCATTATTTCAGAAAATGTGGCTTTCACACACCTTACACTATTAAGGTAATGAGCATCTATTTTTAGAAAAGTATTTAGACAACAGAGGTGATTCAGTTCAAACTGCTACTGCATTATCAAATAGAGTAGTAGCTTAAATATCACACCTGGTGGTACAGCCTTGCATTTCACTGATTGTTTTTCTGGATCATTTTTAGCAAGATTTACTGGGAGTTATGCTTTATGGCAATTAATTATATTAAAGGGATTGTTTCATTTTGCTGATAACATAGGCTACTGTCTACATGTATAGCAGTTGCTTAAGCAAGAGTTTGTGAGGAAATACAAACAAATTCTTTCAGGAATTCCTATTATTGTTCTCTTGGTGGGCTTTTTTTTCACCTGTGCATTGGATATGAAACCAGAAAGTTTTCTTAAATTGTTGTGATGGATTTGTTATTTAATGAACAAGTCAGACTGGCAGCATTTTTTCAGAAAATGTAGCTTTCAAGCAACTTATACTCTTAAGGGAATAAGTATCTATTTTTAGATAAGTATTTATACAACAGGGATATCTGTTTTCACATAAACTATAGAGATACTCTAATGTAAATTAATATGAAGTTGCAGTTGACTTGAAAATAAGCAAACTATTGCAGGGGAAAATAAAATGGTTCATATTGTAAATACTATTTCTCCATCTCCTTTTTAGTACATGTTTGTCAGATATATTGCTGAAATTGTATAACACTACCGATTCATTAAGAATTCTGTATACAATTTCATGTAGCTCTAGCAAGACTGATGAATTTTTTAAACATTCATTTACAGAAAGTTATACAGAAGACAAGTCTGATTCTTCAAAATACCTTAACATGCACATTAAGTGCCATTGAATTCAGTAAGATCTAAGGGTACATTTACATACTTTGTAGTATGAGGGCTCAGGTGAGTAAAGAGAATAAAAGGTCTTGTGAGGAGAGGACAAATTCTGAATGTCTTGCTCAGGAGGAAATCCCATTTAGAAAGACAGAACTTTATTAAATTAATTTTATCAATTAAAGAATGTTCTATGAAAAAAAATCTTTAAGTTTGAATGTGGAAAATAATTCCTTTAAGTAGGAATACTTTGACATGAGTAACACCTTGGTTGAATTCATTTGAACTTTCCAGAAAAATACATTCTGTGTAAAAATTAGATGTAAATATGGTCCCAGGATCCAGTTTGTTGACAACACTGCTGCTTGCTTTCCAGAAATGCGTGCTTTATTGGCCAGAAAAAAGAGGAATCTATGGGAAGGTCGAAGTACTTGTTAACAGTGTGCAAGAATGCAAGAACTACACTGTCCGTCAGCTTACAATAAAGGTAGCAATCTGCACCTGAGAAACATCATTTGTAATGCTTTACTTTTGTAATGTTAAATGAAGTTAAAGTGTTGCTTCTTTCAAAGGGCATAAATTTTTGCAGGAGTAACTGTGCTATGAAGCTCAGAGCTGCAAGGTAGGGTTGAGACCAAAGTATTGGAATACTTACCATATTGCCACTTTGTATCACTCTGGAAAATGAAAAAGCTTCAATAAGAATGAAAGTTTCACCTTTTTGAATTACATTTGATTTGGGGCCCTTTTAGTATTGCCAAAGCAATATAAAGATATTTTAGTTAATAAAAGAATTAGCATAGCATCATTCTAAAACAAATACACTGCTGGTATTGTGTGCTGAGTGCCTCTATAACCCATTTGAGAAGCTAAAAATACAAGGAGCATATAGGAAAATCTTCATGCTTCCATGATTCTAACTAAACATTAATTATGCAAAATAAGGCAGATGCTCCTCTTCTAAGTTACTCCCCGTATTACACTAATATGCTATTGGATTAATCTGCTGCTTCTGACAGAGTATTGCAATAAATAATGGATTGGGAAAATTTGTTTGGTGTTTCAGCCCCAGCAGTGAGAACTGAGCAGAAATCGTATTGTCCAACACAAATTACCCTAGCCCACATTTAGCACCTTTGCTTTTTGAACTAAGTGGTAGCAGCCTCTGTTGAAGAAAATAGCTGGACAAACTGGGATGTCTGATTAATCCAGAAGAGCAGTTCTTCTGCACCTTTAACTTAAATATTCTTGTCATTCTAGTATCAGACCCTTATGATAATAACCTGAAAAGTAGAAATAAATAATAACTTAGAAATTCAGAAGCCCAGACCACACTATTCTCTCTAGATCTTATTGCTGATCCAACACAGATCTCTGTGAATTCCCAGTTGACTATGCAGTCATGAATTCAGTAGTCAGATGGACAAAGCAGAACTTACACAGCTGGAAAAACATCCAAGTTTTCAGGTATACAAACCCTTCTTACGATTGGGTCCCTGGAAGCACATATGTTCCCTGTAATTGCATCCTCCAAGTCTAATATAAAAAAATTGTTAAATCTCCCTTAACATTTTTACTGGTTTTTTACCATAACATTGAAAGAAATAAAAAGAATTGTTCACCACAAGTGTTCATATAAATGCTTCATGTTATTTTCAGCAAGGGAGTCAGTCCCGGAGTGTGAAACATTACTGGTACACATCCTGGCCAGACCACAAAACCCCTGACAGTGCTCAGCCTCTGCTGCAGCTCATGCTGGATGTAGAAGAGGACAGGGTGGAATCACCAGGCAGAGGGCCTGTTGTTGTGCACTGCAGGTAATTTGCAATCCTTCCCTTAAATGACTGCCCAAAGCAAGGCCACAGCAAATCACATGAAACAGGCCTTGTAAACAAAGAATGTGTTGGGGGATGAGCACAATTCCCTGGTTCCTCCTCATGCTAATTGACTTTTTCAGTTCATGTTTGAGGATTTCAGTTTTGGAGAGAATTCCCTTGTTGCTAGCAAATCACTTCTAACTATTCTCCATTTCTGCTAATGAACTCTGCTTTTGAAAGACCAGCTGGAAAGATTATTTCCCTTTTGTTTCATATTCATTATTTGCTTACTTTTTTGTCTTGTTGCATGATTACATACCTAATTAAGATGCAGTGCCCTGTGACCAGGTACCTAAAATGTTGCAAAGCAAGTCAGTTTTGAAGAGGAAGCGTCAGGTACAAATTTGGAGACCAGAACCCATCAGTACTACAATTTGTGAGTGTTTTCACAAAGACAGTTGGTTTGATATTCAAGAGCAAAGTATTACTGGGTACTCAAAAGCAGAGTGTTATTCACACAAATTGTAATGCACCAGAGAATGTCTTTCTAATCATTCTAATTTTATTCCATTTTATTGCTTTATATGGATTCATTGCCCCATGTTGCAATTTAAGCAATAGGAAGTAGAACTGGATTTGTTATATTTGGTGGAAAGAAGTAGATGAGGCAAAACAGAAAGGAAAAATAAAATCAGTGCTTCTTTACTTGGTTTGTCTCATAACTGTGATGATACATCTCTTACAGTTGAGATAATACTTTTTTTTTCACAGAATTACATTAATGTAGAACTTTTCATCTTGAACAACTCCTTTTCCACTCCTTATTAAGGAGATTTAGAGAAATGGAAGCCAAATTCTAATCACCCATCATTTTTCAAAACTAGAATTTGATGAATAAGCCACTTTCCAAAATTTTATGCACCTGTTTTTATCAAGAATTGTAGTTTCCCTGTACAATGCACAAATCCTATTGAGAGTCCCATTTTTCTAGTAAGGATCTTCAGTAATGCAGGTCTTCAGGGGAATGGCATGTCTTTCTAAGATAAGTGATATGACACAGTTCTTCAGTCATGACTCAGCTATCGGTATGTGCACTACATATAGACAGACTCAGGATCTTCATCTCACTTGATCCTTTCTTATGCTGCCAGTTTTACATCTCATTATCCCCTCATGGTTAGCTCAGACATCCTTATAAATGTAATGTTGCTGAGACCTCTTGGAAATTTTCACTTCCAGATGAGAGGGCACTTGAGTCTCTAAAGCACTTCTTTCACTCTGTGGTGAGTAGATTCTGATTTGATTCAGCTCTAGCAAATGAACATATTCCTGGTAACAGTTTGCACTAATCTGGATGCATCACCCTTCTGAGACACTCAGTGTATTCTTTCTGGCATTAATTTTAAACAACTCTTGCAGTGCTCTTATTAGACAGGTAGCATTCCTGGAACATCAAGAAAGCAAGGCACTAAATGGTTAAGTATTTTCTATAAAGACAAGTATGAAAATCTGGACCCCAGTTCCATGCTTTAACTCTTTTTGTGATGTTTTCCTGCCATTCAGCATGACAGTGATGAGCTGCACTGAATTCCATATTACTTAAGCAAGAAACAGAGTGGGGCAGAGATTTTCCAAAGTGTTAAAGGCCCAGGGATAAAAATGCCAAAATTACTGTTTCCCAGCAGGCTTCAAGAAAACCTGGAGTGCTACAGCACCAAATCCTTCTTCCTCCTGCAGAATCACAGTAGAGGGAGTTAACTTGATCAGCATGGGTCTAGGTCCTTTTTGTCTTCATGGTCAGAGAAATGCTTAGCAGAACCCCTGTGTACTTTGAAGTCTTTAAACATAAAGCTGACTGACTTTTGCCTTTAGGTGGGTCTTTCCCCCACGTTAGTGAGTATCTCCATCACTTGCTTGGACTGAGCTAGAGATTATTTGGACTTGTGGTGCTAATGCAGATTGTTTTTCTTACCATCCACTTGTGTTCAAACTGGAAAGATGTAAACCTCACAATTGCCCACAACTGGACTGCTGGAACAGTGCACACTTCCATTTCTCTAAGAAAGTGAGCTAAGAAGTCGTCCTTGCTGTGGATTCTAGCAATGCCATGTTTCTTATTTTTAGTGTTCTCATATCTGTTTAGTGTTATTCGCTTAACTCCTTGATCTGTGAACTCCATTCCCCTATTAAATTTTTCCTTCTTTTCAGTGCTGGTATAGGAAGAACTGGATGTTTTATTGCCACGGCCATTGGTTGTCAGCAGTTGAAGGAAGAGGGAGTTGTAGATGCATTGAGCATTGTCTGTCAGCTACGAGTGGATAGGTGAGTTCCAGAAGAACCAGAAATCAGTTGATGATTCTGAAATGATTTAGTAATGATCAATGATGATTCTGAAATGATTCTGCAAGCCTTTTCACAGTTGAATGTTGCTTTAAATGAAATGGCTGCCATTGCCTTTGCTCACTTTTCTGACAGCATTAGCCAAATATTCAAGGTAACATTTGTGTTTAGCTCCTGAATAAGGAATAGTACTATTTTTGGGATAAAACTGTGTGAGACTCCACTGAATGAAATTCTCCTGAGATGACAACCCTGTGGTTGCTGGGCACTTGTCACTCCTCTTTTCCCCTCCTAAAGCTTTATCCTGTCTGCATCATCCCAGTAGGACATAAGAGATTTGAGGCAATCTGGAGACAAGGGATTGTCTTTGAGCTTGGGTTGACAGGGACATGCAGGCTCACTCAGTGTGTAGTTTCTTTGAGCATCAGAGAGAGACAAATCTGGTGCTGTTGCTATTCCCTCAGCTGTGCTGGGGGTCCTTTTGAAATGAGCTGGCAAATTTACCCAGCTTAAGAAAATAGCAAGGCCTTTGTTGCAGAATTTTCTTAAGGCAGATCAATTCCGTGATTGAATTCACAGCTTGGGAGCAGGAACAGTGTAATCCAGCATTGCTGCAGAGCGCTTTGTTTTGTGAAACTGTGTCTGAAAGGAGGATATGGGTATTGTGCACTATGGAAACTGTTGGTTTGGTTGTACTTTTCTTTGTTATTCTGCTCAGGGAAACAGGATTTTATATGAAGTAAATAAACAGGGTTGAAGCAAGAATAGAGAAGTCTCCTCTCCTGCTGTAGGTACCAGGTCATATAATCTCCTTGCAAATATCTTAACTGCTTCTGACACACATTTCTTCTTTAAATAGAAACAATCCATAAGGGATTGCAAATACTGAAAAAGCACATAGGTCAAAGGGGCAATGCAGGATTTTTGCATTCTGAAGAGCTCTGAAAGATATAGAACCACAAATTGCAGAAGGACCAGAATCCATATAGTTGACAGTGTTTATGGATCACCTCCTCTGCCTTCCCCTCCCACATAGCTTCATCATACTAGAGATTGCAATGTGATCTTTACAGGGCAACATGAGCCAGTTGGAGTGTAAAATTCTCCAAGGGGAGTTACTGACCTAAAAATCTCAGCAACAAAATAAGATGAAAGAGCTGAGGGAAAAATACTTACTCTGTTTTATATTGTCAGCTCAAAATTTCCAACTCTCTTTTCTGATTATCTGTTCATCTCATTGAAAAAAGGTTTGAGGTGTTCTCTCCTTTTAGTATTTCTATTATGAGATAACCTTTTTCTTTTTGCTTTTACACTCCATTGTAGTGGAGAGAGAGAGTGTAGAGAAGGAGAAGGAAACTCTGGTCTTGGCTGCATCATTTTAATGTCATTATTTTCAGACATTAAAAAAATGGCAAATTTTCAGCATTATAACTGACAACACAATTTCAGTGAGTGGATCTGACTAATGAACTTTGTTATATATACTAGTATCCTAGATAAACTTGGAAAGAGATTGCAAATCTGACCCAAATACAACATCCATAACACCAATCTGTGACACAAAGCTTGCCATAAAAATTAAGTATTGTGATTAGTATATTTCTGTATTTTTCAAGTTTTAGATTATATAAATAAGACTCCAGACATCTTGCTTAAGGTGCTTCATATTTGCAGACATTGCCTGAGACAAAAAGTATGTTGTTGTTCTGATTTTTACAAACATTTTTCTGGGCAAAACTCAGTAATCAAAACCTCTTTTTTGTTTTCTTTTTTTCCAACTGGCCATATTGCAGAACAGATCTCACTCATGTGGTAGTCAGTTTATAGCAAGGATTACTAAGGCGAAGCTTAGCAGCCCCTAAGACTACAGTAGCCACTTACAGCCCAACCAGATCATGGCTTCATAAAGTGGCCAAGTATCCCTGTTACATGCACAAAGCTCAATGAGACCAGCTCCTTCTGATGTCCCAGTCCTGACATGGAGGTTATTGGCAGGCAGTGTGTGAGATAGGGTCATTACATGTGTCATGAACCTGGCAAAATAAACTCAAAGCCCACAAGACTTGGCTGCAAGAGCTGGCCGTGGCCATAAGCTGTGTTGCACTTCAGTTACCAGCATGGCCAACATTAGCGATGGGGCACAACCGTGAGCAGAGCAGGGACAATGCTGAGCCTGTCCTCCCCGTTACACTGGACAGCAGCTGAGCTCCACTGTATCCTTGGTGCATCAGATTGCCTCATGAAACAGAAAAAAAGAGAGTTCAGCAGAAAAGATGGTTTGGTCTGACCACCTGGGAGTCAGAAACCTGGGTAAGAGGTATGTTAAATATTTCATACCTGATACCTGATCTCCACTAGGTTCCCGACCAGGCTGGCTCGTGCTCAGAGCTGCACCATCCAAACACAGGTTACTGATGCAAAGAACACAGTGATATCCACTTGTGTGTGAACTTTTTATCACATGGATCCATGGCCATATTTCTACTAAAGTGAATCAAGCAATAGGAGAAAAGAGCTGTGCTTGAGAGACTCTCAGTGATGCTGTAGTGACTTATCGAAACATTTCTATTGTCCAGTATACTCACTGAGAACAAAAATGCATCCAAATTGCAGATGGTGGCAAAAAGTTAGGCTAGAAGATAGTTTAATTAATTATGTAGCTGCCTCCGGAAAGAGAATTTTAAATAGGGCTCCAATGAGGAATGATAGAGGATAGAGCTGTTCCTAGGCAGAGTATGTCCAGGTACCACATTCTTCTTAGCTATTGAGTGTAAGTTAAGGGGTGAACAGATCTGACAGTAACCATCAGTGCTGAGCTAACATGAGGAAATGGACCGTTCACTCAAAATCTTGACCCAGGATAGAGATACAGCCATGTTCTGTGTGAATTGGTGGAAAGACAGACCCACAGGTCTGCTCAGCTTACATTTTTTCCCAGTTCATTTTCTATGTTTTGCAACAGAAACAGGAAATTTTTGATGTGAAGCATCTTCAAGACTTACTGTGACATCAAGAAACTTTGCACATTCTTAACCTTAAAGGCACATTCTTGGAATGACATCCAATAACTTTGCTCTTGGCTTCTCAGACAGGATGAAAAGAGTTTCCAGTGTGCGTCAATTCATTGTTTAAGTGTTTTGACTAATCGCCTCACGTTAGAAAAAATAATCCCAAACCCTGCATCACATTCATTCTGGAGCAGACTGCATCCAGCTGTACTAGCAGGAAGCCAAAGGGCAGGTTAAAGGACCTTTTATGCACCCATTGATGCCCAAGCAAAGCTGGTCACAGTCCCTGTGATCCCCCCCAGGATACCAGGGGCTGTTTCTTCTGAGCACCACCCCAAAGAGTCCCAAAGAAGCAGAGACCCCAGCAGCTCACAGAGGAGCTGGCAGTTAAGGCTGGTGAAAGGATGAAGGCTGCATGCCCAGAGGTGATGTACCTGTGGGTACATACTTTCTGGGCACTAGGACATGGGAGAGGAAACCTCCCTCCTTGAACAGATTTCCTTCTGAAACGTTCTTCCACACAGCCATTTGCACAAAACGATGTCTTGGGGTCACAGATAGTTCCATACTATTAAACATGAGCCTTGCACAAGAACAAAGATGAGAAGGATGTGGGGATATTGGTAGATGAGAAAATGGATGTAAGCCAGCAATATGCACTTACAGCCCAGAAAGCCAAGTGTATCCTGGGCTGCATCAAAATAATTGTGACCAGCAGGTCAAGGGAGATGACTTTGTCCCTCTGCTCTGCTCTTCTGAGACCCCACCTAGAGTACTGCATCCAGCTCAGGGGTCCCCAAGACAAAAAAAGACATGGACCTGCTACAGTGGATCCAGAGAAGGACCATGAAAATGGTCAGAGGGATGGAACACCTCACCTATGAAGGAAGTCCGAGAGATAGGGCTGTTCAGCCTGGAGAAGAGAAGGATCCAGAGATATGGTTTTGCAGGTTTTCAGTATAAAAGAGGGATTATAAGAAAGACAGAGAAAGCCTTTTTACCATGGTCTATAGTGATAGGGCAAGTGGTAATGGTTTTAAACTAAAAGAGCATAGATTTAGATTAGGTATTAGGAATAAATTCTTTACTGTGAGGATGGTGAGACACAGGAGCAGATTCCCTGGAGAAGCTGTGGTTGCCCCATCACTGGGAGCGTTCAAGGCCAGGTTATATGGGACTCTGAGCAATCTGGTCTTAATGGAAGATGTCCCTACCCATGGCAGACGGGTTGGAATTAGCTGATCTTTAAGGTCCCTTCCAATGCAAACCTGTCTGTGATGCTGTGGTTCTGTGAATCCCCTGTACAATAGCACTGACAAGACTAAGTTTCCTGAATCTCTGTATAAGATTCAGGTGTCCCTAAGCTGACAGAGATGTGCACTGGATTGCCCATACAAGGTTCAGAAGCATCATAACATCTCAGTTACGCTTGCTAACACAGGGTAATTGAGGTAGTGTTGAGCTCAGCTCCAGCCAGTCTCATATATGCTTTCTTGGGGATTTTTTATGTTGCTCAGCACTGAAGAGGAAGCAAGGATCACCACCACAAACAGCCTAGTGCAGCCAAACTTCTTTTAACCTGCCCTTTCTGCCAAGTCCTTGTCCCTGGATATGTTCCCTTCCTCCACCCCTTCCACACAGCGGATCTAACCTGGGAAGTGCACTCCCTTAGAAAACATCTTGGGGGAATATTGATGAGGGAGACAGGGAGGGAAGCTTGCTGGGAAGGAGATGCGTGGGCAGAGCAGGACGCAGTAGTGAGGAGGAAGGAAGGAGACTAGGAGCACAGAGGAGCAGAGCAAAGCCCTCCCATCACCTTTAGTCTCTGGCTGGATCTCCGGTTAGGGGCCAAGCACAGAGAAGAGCAGCTGAAGGCAACAGGCAGCCAAGAGTTATGAATTTGTGGATGTCTTTGTTGGCAAAGCTGAGAGTCTGCTGTATTTTGCACTGGATGAGACCATTTAAGGGCCTCTGATTTTGTTCCTAGGAATAGCAGCACATCATGATAGACATGCAGCTCACTAAAAGGTGTTCTGCATTTGTTTGAGCTCATTGGAGGAACACAGACAGGTGGTCGCTTGCTTAAAGAAGTAGATATTATTTTAATTATGATTTTCCTGCCACAGCTATTTAGCCAACCAGTAGCATTGAGGAAAATAAAAGGACCTTGTGGTTATAGATAATGTCCTCTAATACTAAAGGACAATGCTTGCTGAGGTAGTTTTACCATTTTTCAGACAGCTTTGTATATCAGTACCATATTCATCACTAGAGATCTTATGGGAGTTTGTCAGACCTTCTCCTGTAAGATATCTGGCTTCAACAGTGCTCTGGATCAAATACCTCACAAATATGAATGTTTCAATGAAAATCTAACCAAAGCCAAATGTGATATACATCTTAATGTCTTCCTTCCCACTAAGGCCATTTAGTCTTTCATTGCCTCAAATGAAAGAGGCAATGAAAATGTAACTAGTTGCTCCAGGGTATGCTGAGGATGAACTGGGGGCTTGGTTCTAGAGCAGAGTAATTAGCTTTGAGTACCCTGACAGATGAGAAGGTAAAGGTGGAATTAAGTAAACTTGAGGCTTCATTCCATGAGAAGGGAGACCTGGAAGACCTCAGGACTGTCAGAAGGAGACTCAGTTTAATCTCAGAACTAAATGGTACCACTCCTACTAAATATCACACCTACCTCATGTAGGACATCCTCTTCCTACAACACTGCAGCAGGCACTGGAGATGTGAGATGTGATCCTCATACTCAAACCTGAAAAAGAGATTGTTATGAGGTGAATATATAAAATGTAGGCATTTAATCCAAGCTGGCTGTAACTAGTCCTTTTTATGAGCAACACTTTTATATTGTTGGTGGTGAAATGATTCACTGCTGTAAAATTTCTTAGGTGGCTGCTGTTCAGACAGGATGCATTGTAGGCTTTAGAAAGAGGACAGGAAGAGCTGCTCTCTGCACAGGCAATCTGTAGGTCACCAAAGGTTGCATTTTTTGTAAAGGACAAAAAAATGAAACACCAGATTCTGACTACTCCCTTGCTTCATTGGTGGTAATGCTGTGTCCATGTATCTGTCCTTCCTTGCCCAAATAACTGAGCAAAATTCTCTTTGAATGTGTTGAATTTAAAATTTAGGTTTTAACAATGTAGATGCCAGGTGTTTTCCTCTCTGGAACTGGGAATGCTTCATGCTGGACATATGCTGGATGGCAGAAGTTATGAGGAAAGTACTTCTGCTCAGCTAAATATCCCACTTACTCAAGCAAACTCTATGTCAAAAATTGAGAAAGGGCTTATGTTATCTGGTGGTCATGGGGCTGGCAAGGGCTAGAGGTTGTTGCATTCTTAAGAAAGAAAATTTCAACCCGATGTGTTTCCTTTCCAGGGGTGGAATGGTTCAGACCAGCGAGCAGTATGAATTTGTGCACCACGCACTGAGTCTGTATGAAAGCAGACTTTCTGCAGAAGCTGTCCAGTGAAGCCAAGGAGGGTAAAACTGAATGCCAGTCTCTTGAGGTAATTTGTTTCATTACCTACCAGCAGCTTCTTCAAGGAGTTTACTGCAGTGGGAAAGATGGCTGTGAGGCCAATGTCTGAAAGGATTGTGGATGGTTTGGCAAAAGTATAGAGATTGCTGGACCCTTACTATATATGAATGTATTGTGAGCTTCCCAAAAATGATTTATAAAGAAGGTACCATACTGAAACTACACATGGATTTTGTGTATGTGTCTAAAGGTGGGTTTAATTCTGTAGTAGTGATATCTGCCATATGGAATGTATGTATCTGCTACTGCTGCAGTCAGATGGACATTGGGACTTCTACAGAAGAAATGTTTAACAAGTGTATAAATGCTTTGATGTTTGCAAACTGTCTTGTGAATGGACTGTCAACTGTACTGTAAAGTGCTATTACTGATTATGTGGTGAGCTTGTTTCTTGGCCACATAATATTCTTGCTGCTAAAATTGCAAGTGTTCAATTATGGATAAAAAAAGATGACAATAAAAAAACCTAAAAGTCTTGTTTTTGAAAATATTCAAAAGCAGTTAATATTTTATATGGAAATACATGTTCTTCATACTATTAACTATTAAATGTGTATTTACTGTAGGTCTTACAGAGCAGTTGCAGAGCACAATGTCTGTTATTCAGTGTGTATGTATTTACTGTTGATTGTCTTAGAACATGCTTCTGCTACAGACCTGAATCCAGTGTATTTGTAAATTGTGTAAGTCATTCTACTTTAAAAAGAAAAGTAGCATATATTAAATGGTAAGGATTTTAAATATTTGTCTGTCTTTTATCAATATGGAAAATTTTGCTTATGTTGTTTATCTGCTCTATCTCTTTCAGTAAGAGATAGATGCCTTCAGTGATATGGACTGTTCCATAACAGGTTGTACAAGAAAGAAAATGCTGCTATGACTGTTTCCTTTACTGTTCAGTAAGAGTTTGTTTTTAAGAGAAATGCAAAGTTGGCATTATGACTTACAGCACTGGGAGGTCTGTTTACAGGGTATAATGAGTTTTTAATGCAGTGATGTTGACTTTGCTTCATACTGCTAATAAATTACACTTGATATAAAATATTTATTGAAGTCTCTTTTCTTGACTAGAGTAGTTAATGCACCACATACTTTTGTGCCCCCATAAACAGGCTCCGCCCAGCACAATTTGGTTAGCCTCCAACCATGGCTTCAGATCACTGGGCAACCAATCCAGAGGACACAATCTCCCACTGTCATGGAGCAAGGTGCACCACCTGATGGGAAGGCAAACCCAGCATCTCTTGGTTCCTCAGGGGGAGTTTGTGTAAGACCCAGTACAGACCCCAGACCTTTGCCTCCTTCTCTTCCCCTTCTTCCCCCACCCTCCACTTGGCTTTAAGAACCTGTGGAGTTAGAGGTATCAATATTGAGATTTTGCTTGATTATGTATCATTACAAAAAATATGTGTTTGTTCCTTGGATAATATACAATTTGGATATAGCTTGGATAACATACTTACTCAGCACCATCCAGATGACCTGCAGACTTGTAATATTTAACAGGCAACAAAATACACAAAAGTATAATCCCCTTCCCTTTAGTCTAAAGAGATTCAGTATAATCTCTTTTAGTTTCCCAGGTGTTTGAAAACCTCTGTCTCTTTTGCTTGTATTTTTTCAAAACAAAGCAACTAGTAAACTCCAAAGAATCATATAAAAGGACAAAGTGCTGTAAAACTCCCCAAAACAATTGAATAGAAGGAAGTGCTCGTCACTGACTTTTTCCCCCTGTGAAGGCACATTTCCTTCCTAGCCTTCGCTTCACTTATCTGAGGTGGGTTTTTTTAAGAGAAGCATGGGGAGTTGCTAGAGGGAAAATGGATTCTTTATTTCACGTACTGGTTTCTACCTGTCTTGCCTTGACATTCTCAGGTAAGTGTCTCTCCCCTCTTCCCCTCTGCCATATTGCTATTTCTGCCACTGAGCAGAGCCCTCTGGCACAGCTGATGACCTACACTCTTTGCTCGGGTTCATACAAGAGGAATGCAGGGCAGGGCCAACATAGCCCGTTCTGTTTAGGTTTCTTTCAAAAGGAAAATAAACTGTCTCCTTCTATGCTGGAGATACCTCGTCTTTTTTTAAGGAAGATGTCCTGATAGACAATCTAGGAGCTAAACTCTGGGACAAACTCTTCAATGAGGAGATTCCTATCTTTTATTCATACTTTGTGAAACTTCAGTAACAGGATCTTTCTGTAACACTCAGTTAGAAAGTACCCAGATCTGTAAAAACAGGGGGGATGGCAAACATCAGCTGAGGGAAATAAATACACGTTTGGTTTAGCACTTTGTAACTGATGAGACTGGAAATGTTTGAGTAACTGATATTAAAAAACAAGATAAAAACCTAAGCATGATATGGCAGGGAGGCTGCATTTGAAATAACCAGTCTGTGCTCTGTAACAGTATGGATTTTGCATTGGTAACTTTGTGGGGCTTTGCTGAATGCATTGCAGTTCTCTTCATTTGAGTATTTAGTGTTGATCTTTAAGTGTGGTGACACAAAGAGCTAGTCTTACGTGAATTGGAATGGCCACAAAGTTAACAGCTAGAGACATTGGAGTAAATCCAGTAAATTAGATGTGCTTCCTATCAGTAAAGAACCTCCATTCCTGTAACGACACAGGCACTGAGCAGCACACAGATTTGTGAATGTCCTCCTAAATGTCCTCCTCGTTTTCTTCAGAAACACTATGAGTTTTACTAAAACTACTTCCGGGCAGTAAATTATCTTTTAAAAAGTCTGTGTTGTAAAACTGAAAAAGAGACTGAGAACTCTGTATGCTTTCAAGCAAGGGAAATGAGGTATTTGGAACTGGTATTTGAAATTGATAGTTCTTGGATTTCTTTCATATCCAGTTTAATTTTTTCCTCATTTTCATACACAATGAAGGTCAAGGTACCCTTGCCACAACAGTTGCTTTTTACATTCTCATTCTTTACATTACTAGCACTTGCACCATGTGGGTTGTGTGTTTGGTTTGGTTTTTTTTAAATAGATTCAACTTGCAGATAATTTCATGAAAGGTTCAGCACACAGAAAGTGGGAAGAGGGATTTATTTGCTTATGCATTTTAAATCATCAAGAATTTCCTTTTTGTTAAATAACTATGTGTAACCTATTGTATTTTTCTGGAATTTTCACTTTCCAGAAGGGTTTCTGATTATCCATGTCCAGAAACAGCAGTGTCTTTCAGAAAAGAGAGGAGTCATTATGGAAAAGTGCAATATGACCAACCTGAACCAGAGGTGGCAGTGGACAGCAGATGACAGGCTCCTCCATGTGAAATCTGCCCAGTGCCTGAGCATCTCTACACGTTCTGCTCTGTCATCTCGCAGCATCATTGTCAACTGTCCCCAGGCAGTCAAGTGGACTTGCCAGGAGGAGGATGGGCTCCTGAAGGTGGCCAACACCTCTCTCTTTCTCACAAAGCAAGGTCAGAAGGTAATGGCCAAGCAGAGTAAAAAATACCTTCATACATGGATGCAGCTAGAAGCCAGCGAGACAGGAAAACCTGTTTATGTAAATCTGTGCTCAAAACAAGGTGAGCTACTACTTCAAGGAAATATCCTGGAAGTTTTGGTAACAAAAATGTCTCTGTGATGCTAACTCAAATGTGAAAAATTGTGATATTTTATTCATACAGCAAAAATGTTTTTCATAGTTGAAAAGAGTTTAGAGATCTACAAAGGAACAGCTGAGATGAGTGCTGTCTTTCTTACAACTGGTGGGATTTTTAAGCTATTTCATATTTTCAGGATGCCTCTCCTTTTCTCTACTCCAAGCCTTTGGGTCAAAGTGCTTATGTGTAAGCTCAGCTCACTATTCCGTCATTTCCTTTTTCATTTCCAAACAGAATTGTGGGTACTAATTCCTACTACTTTTTAAAAATGTGGATGGATAAAAGTCCTTCTCCTCCCTATTCATTTTATCATACAAATCCAGATTCAATCTGTCAAGAGCAAGAAGACATCCAAAAAAGCTGAAACACATGCACGATTATTTCTCTGATTAACCCAAATGCATGATTAGAACATAATGGGCTACACAGTCACATGTTTACTCAGTGTCATTTTGCCTTTAGATGCAGCACTCAAAATCGTGAAAATAATGAACTGCATCAAAAATCTCAGAAATTCCTGCAATAGCACTTGGAGATGCATGAGTCTGTGCACATACCTACAGACACCTACTTGGGTTCCTGTGTAGTTATGGGTTTCCATATCCATGGCAAAATGGAAGGTAGAATGGTTTGAATACTGCTTAATAATGCTTTCTTCAATGTCCTCTTGTCAATCCTTCCTGGCAATCCTGTTGACATTCTTCTTGTGCACTATTAAGCAGCTCTTCTTAGTAAATAGGAACAATCTACAGACCTAAGCTTTTTATGGGGAAACACACCACTTATTCTTGCCTTTACAGGGTTAAAAAAATGTTTTATTACTTAATACTTTTGCATATGGCTAAGTTTTCAGACTGTTTAAACCAAATCCTCATTCTTTCTAACCTTCTAGTTATTGTAAGGCAGGGTAGCATTTTGTTTTCAGCAAATTTGCGCTTGCAGCACTGAACTCACAGGATCAGGACTACTCACCTGAGTAGAAATCTGAAAAGACAGCTTGCAGAATCAGGGAATGGAAAAATGACCAAGATGCCATTCCAGCCCTCACATACATGTTAGACATTAAAAATCTGAAGTCCTATGTGGTGAGTATGGGTTACTTATTCAAAAACACCATGAACAGTTCAGATGAGGTACGCAGGCAGTGTTATTTCCTTCAGACAGCTGGAGTAAGTGTGGCCTAATAGACTTCAAGTAACCTTGCATCCTTTTCTTAATCATCCTCAGAGGAGAGGCAATTTAAAACCAATAAGCACTAAGACAATTGTCACAGGATATTAAAGCACCTTCTTGTGTATTTGCTGTATTCACTCCTTAAATGAATTTACCTTAATTTTCCTGAAATTCTCTCCATAGACAGATCTGCAAAATCTCTTTAAAAGTGTGAGTTATCTCATTTTTGACAGCTCTGGGAAGCTCTGCTGAGAAATCAACAGAACATTACAATTCTCAATACCTAAGAATTTCAGGAACACAAGAAACTCATAAAAAGTGGAAGTAGTTCAAAGAGTTAAATTTTTCAAATAATAATAAGTACTACAATCTAATGCTCACAATTCTGGTCTTGGCATCCATATGCATGTCAAAATTTCCAACGCTGAATGTGTAAAATTAGTCTTCCAAGAACATCTATCTGCTTTCAGTAAAAGCAGTGGATCAGCCTAAAAAAACCATATTTGGTCTATATTTAGCTAAGATAGTAAAAACGGAGCAAAATCTTCAGAACTGAAATGCCTGTAAGTTTTTCTACTCCTGATTAGCACCACATTTTAACATAATTTGCCCTCTGTTTTCACAGTACTCATAAAAAAAAAGTCATATTTTGTCCTAGGAGTAACTCACTGAATTGCAACCCAAACATCTTATCAGCCCAGAGAGAGTACAAGCTCCAAACCCAACAACTGCAACTACCTTTTATTCAGGACCTTACTCAAATGTCAAACATGATTTTTCAGAACCTGGGGAAAGTCTGAGCTTGGATTTGGGTTTTAAATCAGCCATTTGATATGTGTTTGGATGTACATGCTTTGCAACTGTCCTGACTTACATGACTGTTTGTGGAAATCAGGATCAGTTTAGGTATGAATCCCAGAGATGATTTTAAATCTAACAGCAAACAGTCCTTCTCACACAAACCTGTGTTTGAATCTGGCTCTGGCTGAAAGACCTAACATGAAGAAGGGCCATGAGGTATCAGTCTCTCCAGACAGTGATACTTCAGGTCCCATGAAATTAATGAGGCGGTTCTGGGCAGAGAGAGGAATA